ATATTATAAGCAGAAGATGACTTGCCTGTGTTTGCCCTCTGTCTATTTCAATAACATATTCCGATTTGTGGAGCTGGTTCTGCTGCCACAGCTAGAATAATTTTTTAATCCAGTTTTTCTTCTTTCTATAGAAATTTATATATAATAAATTTCCCTTCCTGTTGAGTTTTTCTCTGTAAATTTTTGTTGTAAGTGGAGAGTAGGAATGTGGCAGCCATGACTTGCATACAGGGCCTCTAGGGGACACTTGCAACAGGCAAGTTTTTTTTTTATTTACAAACCTAATGATGGGTGTCCTTTCCAGTGAAAATGCATGGATCCACAGAACTATTAGGCATTGTATGATGCATAAACAAAATTGTTTTATTAAATTTACAGTTCTTTTTACAGGCACTTTTCAGAAGTTCAAGACTGTTAAGGTGGACTTTTGTATTGGGCTACTGAAGTCATCACACATTATTGATAAATGGCTTAATCCAAAACAGTTTGCTCATCTGTTATTGAGACATGAGCACAGATTCAGAAACAAAATGTTTTGGGACCTTTAAAATGCACTTAGGCATGGGCTTAAGTGAGCTTAAAAGAATGTAGAATGGAACTGATACTGACCTGACTTATTTTTTTTTCTTTTCCCATAAAAGCTTAAAAAATGTAAACAACTGGCAGTTTTAAATACAGAAGGTCCAGAGGTGGAGAAACTACTTTCTCATAATTTATCTGCATTTCCTGTAGCCCTGTGGCCTGCAGTGACATCCAATGGTCTCAAGCACTTCAGAAATCAGCACACTCCCTTCAGAGCAATTAAAATTACCACTCCAGCAAGAAGAGGAGAAAAGAGAGTGAAAATCAGACTTTGCAAATCCCAAAGAGCTGTCTTGATTTGAAATACACATGAAGTCAGCTCTGACTGAACAATGGAAATTTATGGGGAACTCTAAACTTTTCTGTCTTTCAGAGTTCTGCCCAAATGTTTCTACTTAGAGCCTCTGCCTGATGCCTTCATGTCAGATGGCTATTTCTTAGGGAGCAAATCTGGTGAATACACTATTTTTGAGATCATGTCACTACTACTTGCATATTTGGGCTTCATGTGCTGACTCTGTGAAGTGCCAAATCCTATTTTCCTCACACGCAATGGTGCAGTTGTTTTTTTCCCTTCTTTTTCAGCTTCACAAGATCAGAATGCTCACTATTTTCCCTTGTCTTTGAAAGATGGAGACAGGAAGAATGTTTAGTAAATATGGATTAAGGAGGTTATTTTTAATTTGTGCAAATTATTTTTCATAATAAAGAGTGCTTCAAATAATACCATACAGCCTGTCTTAAAGGGTGGACACACTGTATCCCTTCTCATTACTCACAGTAATGATTTTCTGCACAATTAACTGTTCCTGAAGTAACTTTTTTTTTCCTTTAGATTAATTCAGTTCATATTTCCTCTTTTCCCTGACTGCAGCTGACACCGACTAATAGCTGACCCTGTGGAAATAATAGTGAATTTTCCTGCAGGATTCAGAAGCCAGCTAACAGAAGCTTCTGGAAGAGTATTCTTCTATTTGCAAAGGGACTTTTAGCACACTGTTCAAACAGAATAAGATTGGTTTCATTTGCACTGGAAAATTGTTTTAATGTACAAATAGCCTGAACTTTCTGCAGCTTTTGAACATAAGTTGAATATTACTTACTCTCCTAGTCAATGAGAAGCAGGCTATTCAGCAACAAATGCAGTTGCAGAAAACCAGTTCAAATGCAAAGGAAACAGAATTTAATGACACATTATTCTGAATAATATATGTATGTACAGTTTTGTAACTGCCTGACAGATCTGTTTCTATGCTTGAAAATTTTGTTATGTTAAATTACTTAAAAGAATGACTTTATTCTAAACCCCAAATGTATTTTGCAATCTGACATACTGCATTTATCACTTTTCATGCCAGTATGGATGTCTTCTCTTGTGAAAGTCAACCCAAATAAAAAACCTATTTGCTATTTTTAATATTTTTTAAATAAGACAAGTATGGACAGGATCTCGGACCAGATTCCTTCTTGTGCCTCTGCCAATTGTTTTTTAAAAAAATATTTTATAGTGCATTTTTTAAGCTATCCCTTTGTCTTTGCATTCACTGATAAGGAAAAAAAAAGTAATTAAAACTATCCATATTTTCCAAGGAATTATTACTTTAATAAAAGAAAAAATAATTAAGAAATGGGCAATTTGGAGCACCCCAAGGGAAGGGATTGTCACTCTGAAGAGAAATTGCTATTTTAAGACAAGGTGGCATAAGCCTTTGCTACTCTTGGAGTTGTTGACATTTCCTTCAATACATTATAAAGAAGAAGAAGCTTTGGCATTTTCAGATGCTTTGATTTCCTCTTCCTGTATCTTCATATACATCTAGGAAAGAACATATACATAGATATATATAACACTTGTCCACAATGCTGTTTTTCTTTTCTTTAAAAGAACTGTTGCAAACATGTAAGCAAAGCAGCAGCTCTAAACACAATTCTTCAGCCTGAATAAGATCTCTGGGGACATATTTGCAACACACTGATTTTTGACTAAATTTTTAGTATGTGTAGTATGTCTAGCTTTTAAAGGACAGCACAGGTTTGAGCCACAAATAACATAATGGCTAATATGGCATCCTGCATTGCTGCTCTTTCTGTACAGATATTTCAAGCTTCTCATATTGTATAACAATAATGTACCTGATAAAGGGTGGTGGTAACCATGGACTGAGCGAGTGCAGTCCAGAGTACAACCCTGTGCTGAAATGACTGGAAAGGCTTTGCATCCTTCCTGCTCTTTAATAGCTGGCAGAGCAGAAGTTTGTGAAAGCGTTAATGACTGATATGAGAGAAACAATATGGATCAGAGGAGAGGATGATGATGTAAAATTATCTTCATTTGGAGTGAAAATTAAACTTAAGTTACAAACAGTTTTTAGTGCAACACTTATGAGCACTAAGTGCTTATCTGTAAAAGCTCTATAAACCTCTTGCTCATTAGCTTTGGCAGACATCTTTGGATTTCTTCTTTATGTGGAAGAACCTGTTCAGTTTGCCAAAGGATTCATATTTAGTTTAAAAAAAATGTCCAAGGGCGAGAAAAGAATCAAACCAAAATGGCTTAAAAGAATCTGCTTAATGAAACACTGAAGAAAGCGACAATCCTGTAACTCCCTGTGAGTGTGGAGCCCAGAGATGGAGCAGAACAGTTTCATTAAAATCTGATTTTGTTTTTCTTTTGATTCTTTGGAGGAGCAGAGGAGGTGAGTCTGCAAAAGACTGTTGAGAAAAGCAACTAATGGAAGCATATGAATGCAAAAGTGCAAAGCCAGCTACCATCTTCCCTCATGTTTTGACTGAAATTAAGTTATAAGTCTGTCAGTCCAAACCCAAGAGATTTAAAGAATTTAATTATTTTCCAGTAGTATTTCTACCTTTTAAGAGCTGTGCCACATCTAAAATTTTGTAATTATTTAGACTCAAAGGCATATGTGCATGTGTGGATGAAAGGATAAAAAGGCTGATAAAAGCATGATGAAAAGTGGAAAAACTATTCCCAGGTGTCAGGCATTGGCTAGTCTGCAAATTTGCTGGTACTGTCACTGGGATTTCTAAGAGCAAGAGAGAGAACACCAGCTAATTCTGGTGAAGTTAAGAATTTGAAAGATTCTCAAATTTTAAATCTGATAATTAAATATTGCTTTTGACTGATTTTACTTTACATATTACATACATATTACATATTTATTTTAATAAATCTGTGAAATCACAGCAGTTCCATTTAGAAGCACTGGGAATAAGAATAAAATGACCACTTAACCAACAAATCTGCTTGGCTATATCTTCTTTTGATTTGTACAAAGAGAGATTCCTGCCATAAACACAGTGCAGGCAAGTTTTTATCATTTTTACAGTGAATATTGCTGATTATTGTACAGATGACTGCATGATGAGTCTGTGGGATTTATCCATAAGTAATCATTACTTTGCACTACAGGAGTTTGCAATTACTTTCCCAGATTCATTCTCTGTTCTGTGGTGCTATGTTTCTCCCTTATACTGAAATGGAAGCATCCTGCTGTAAGGACCAGTATTGACTTAAGTCATCCTTATTTATTTATCGCTCAGAGTGCTCCTTCTCAGCAGGTCAGGAATTGGAAAATTCATGAATTCCTCATAATCTGAGTAGTTTGCCCAGTATCATGCTTAACAGATTTTATGCTATTAGTGAAAACTTTTTCCTGTTTCCTTTTCAAAATATGAAGCACTGAGTCTGTTATCAGAGACTGTACTTGTGGTACACAGCTATACCACAATTACAGAAACTCTAGTGTATTCACCCTTCTTATGCCAGGAAGTGATATACAATAGGTGATTTGAACAAAACCAGGTCTATGAGACATAAGCACAACATGTGGTGGCTTTCCTGGTATTTAACTCAGCAGAAGTGTTTCTGTGGAGTTTCCAGCCAGAGCACCACACAACAAGAATTCTTTTGTGATAGAGACACTGCTTACTCAAGTACTAGTCTGTTAGTATTTCAGTGACTATTTTAACACTGATAATTATTCAGCTGACCATTTTCAACATTGCAAAAAACCCCACCCTAACTCTCCTTGGCACATGGCTGAGGGGTCTGGAGGCCACGCTACCAATTAAATTTCTTTGATTGAATATTTAACCAATTCAGTAGGAAGTGCTGATGTTTCAGTGCCCTATTAAATTAAGTGTGAATTTTCATTTGAAGCTGCGTTTGAAGATCTTACCTTTTGTTTTTTACACTTTAACAAAACTGGTGTAACAAAACACAGACCGGAGACTTGAGGAAAAGTGGGGGATTGGAAAGTAAATAGTGGAGGAATTAAGGTATCTTTCCTTCCATAACCCTCTCAGTGGAATCCAAAAACAGCCACCAAAATGTAAATTGTTCTGGATGCAAAAGTATTTGTCTTCCAGCTACCATGTGAGTGAACACAGTCTGTAACTTACTGTTGGTGGTCTTGTTGTGGCTGCTCAGGAATGTGCCGAATAACTTCATAAACCGTACTTAGCATATTCTGGTCTGTGACAAAGTCAGAGCCAGGAGCAGATTGACTTGAAACCTAAAACCAACAAAGTATATTCCTACTGTAAGTACAAATATGAAAAGATTCAACAGAAATTAAACTGTTAATGTAACTTGTAATTTTTTAAACTTTTTGTCAAAGTTTTGCTTGTGGATTGAACAGGTAATGTCTGCTCGTTTATGTTTCATTTTGGGTAAGTTCTCATCACATAAATAGGAAGGCAAGTAATAGTTTTAAATTCATTTAGCCCCTTAACAGATTTAGGATGCAGCTTTCACATTTAATACAGCAAATATTTTATATTAATATATAAGTCAAGAAAGGAACATTTAATAAAGAGAAAAGCAGGAGAGCAGACAGTGAAAAAGCAGTAAATATTCAGGGCACAGGTTCAGAGTAAAATTCCCAATGACCTGTCAAAGAGAGAGAAATGCATGGAATTTCCATAAATCAAATAATATAGATTGTTCAGCATGTTAAGTATATTAATTTCCTCTTATGTCATGACAACAGATTTACCTAGACTCCACATCCATAAGGAATTACCAGTCTTTCTGCCTATACCCAACCTCCAGTTCTTCATTATCTCCACTTTCTTATTTTCCCCTTTCTCTGCTGACTAAAATGAATCAGTGGATCAAATGCTGACTTTATCTGCAATGCTATACATGTGAATAGCTGAACATAAACCAGTGGAGCTTCTCCTGTTCCTTGAAATTTTACTGGAAATTATAGTAGATTTCATTGCTTGTACATCCATCCTGTCATTCTTCTCTCACTGTTCTCTCCCTCCTGACCCACTAAGGCCAGCCACGATCCTGCAAGAATGTGATATGTTGATATGATCAGCTTAAGGGATTTAGAATCATAGAAGGTTTGGGTTGGAAGTCCCTAAAGATGATCCAGTTCCAAACCCTCTGCCATAGGCAGGGACATCTTTCACTAGACCAGGTTGTTTGAAGTCCAATCTGACTCTCAGCACTTCTAGAGATGTTGCATCTGCAACTGAGGCAACTTCTAGTTGCCTCACCATCCTCACAGTAAAGAATTTACTTAATCTAAATGTACCCTCTTCAGTATAATATCACAGTGTGCTTAAAGCTGTAATGATATAGGGCCTGATCTCTAAACTTAATAAGCCTCTTACTGGCACAAACTGTAACAGAAGCAGTTCAGCTTTTCCAAAAGTCTTTTATCTCTGGTGCTGTAAAAGACTTTCCTCTCCACCAACATTTGTGGTAGCACTTTAGCCCTATAAATGTATATTTCAAACATCTAACTCCATCAGAGAAGATAAAAATTAATCTATGTCTGGTTTTTTACATCATATGAGTACTAATCATAAAAACAAATCAGGTGTGAAAATGTGACCCTGTGACCATGCTTTAAGAGCTCTCCCTTACCTGACCAGACTGATGCTCTTCAAAGGTACAAGATTACATTGCTGGAAATTTTCCCAAGCAGAGGGAAACTTTCATCTATTTCCTCCCAGTTTTACAACTGCCCCTAAATTTCATGGCCCTTTTGATTTTTTTCCTTTGTCCTTTTACACCATATCAGAAGGATCTCCAACTGCTATGCAGTAATGTCAGCAAAGACACAATGCAAGGAAGCAGCAAATGTTGCAGGATTTTTTTCTGCTAGCAAAATTTCTTTGCTTAATTCCTCTCCACAATACATGAAACAAAAAAAAAATTATTTTTGTGAAATACAGCTGAGACTTACCTTACATTTACACTTTAAATAACCTCCTGAGACCTTTCTGCATTGCCAGGGCTGAATGTTGCATGAGCAAAAATATTAGGGTCAAGGGAGAAAATGGCATCGCTTGCCTGTGTGACACAAGTGGTTCAGTGCTACCCAATTACCCAACAATACTAACATTCTTTTAATATTCTTATAATATAGGGTATTTGAATGGAGATTGCTGTCTTTAGAGCTTGGTTATTCCTTACTTCACTATGTTTATTATGAAGTACTGAACTAGTAACACAGGAAAGAAAGAGCAAGTACTGGGTAAACAATAGCCATGAATATGGTGTCATACAGACATCCATAAAAAGCAACAGAAGCAAACCTATAGAAGGACTCTGGTACAGATGTTTAGTACCCCTAGAGAAATAGAAAAGAAACAGTCTGTTTATGATGTAAAATCACATACCCTAGAACCACTGGTAAGATCTGGAAAAGTGATGAACTCATATATCCCAAAATCATCCAAAGCACTTTCATGTCCTGAAGTTAGAACAAAAATTAAAAAAAGAGATGTAATATGAACCTGGAAAATAATGACTGCCAAGGTATTTTGCCCTAATTTTTAAAACACCCAAATACTGTTTATGTGATCTACTTTAGACCACTTCCCTGCCAAGCTCCTAAACTGGTCAGCTGCAGAGCTGGTGTGCTGATTTTGACGGACCTTCTGTGCTCAAGTGAATGTCCTACCTTCCTAAGCTTCATATACGTCCCTATCCTTGTGCATGTAGCAGTTTATGGTCTGCTCTGATGCTTTGGTAGAAAGGAATGGGAATAAAAGTGATATCTTTCCAAAGGATAGCTGGTCTCTAGCATCTCCTGCCTAGGATCATGAGGGAAGAATTGTGGAGGGAAAAGAGGCAGTGAAAAAAACCACTCTGGGTCCTGGTAAAACTGAGAAAAAGCAGTACAGAATATGGTAGAAGGTTATATATGTATACTGCAATGCCATTAACTCATTATTTTGATAACAATTGATGTCATGAATATTTTCCCTTAAAATCCTCCCATGATGTATCACCTCTTACTGCTAGTCCAGAATAACACTGATTTAAGTCATATTGGTGACAACAGTGGAATACAGGTATTCCAATCCCAGAATACCAGGATTAAAAGGTAGAATTCAAGACAACAGTACATACTGCTATGAGCTCCAGGCATGAGCTAAACCCATGCTGACTTCTCATTTAGGTCTTATCTTAATTAAGCTATCATAGAGGTGTGCAACCCAACACAAAAACATACTTTTCTTCCTTTCCCTTTATTTTTTTTTTTCAGTATGTGGGGATGCTGTTTTTCTTTTCCAGGAATGGACTTTGACATTATATCACTCTTATTTCATTACCATTACCTGAAAATGCCTGTGCCTTTCTGTAATCAGCCTCTGCCCTAGAAAACATAAACGTGTTTCTCAGTTTGACATCATAAGCCAAGGAAAAAAAAATCAATATGATAAAATGCACTTCTCTGGATGGAAAGTACTTTTATATTTAAGATGAATTATTTTTCTACCTGCTCTGTAGCTTCTGTTGTATCACTGAAAAGAAGAAAAAGAAAAAAATTACTGTTTTTGCTCCAATGGTCCAAAAGAAGAGCCAATCTGTGCTTAACTTTTACATACCTTTATGTGGCCGATATCTTTTCCATAGAAATAAAAAGGCCATAGCTAGGATCAAAAATAATGAAATTCCTGTTATTACTGCAAGAGAAGACAAAGATTTTCCTTTCTGGGCCAGCTTTTCCAACCCTGTGACAAAGAAGATGAGTATTGTATTTAGTTCCTTGTTCTTGACTATGTGCTACAATGACACTGAAAAATGCACTTTTAAAAATTATTCTGAAGCTAGTAAACCTGCATAGAGATACAAAACATGCAAAATGTGGGTCTTGTGAATGGGTAATAGTTATTTTTCCCCATAGATCTCCTGAATTGAAAAATCCATGATACGCATATCAGTGAAGACTTCAAAGCAGATTAGTGCCTAGAGCCAAATGAAAGTCAGTAAGTGTAATCAAAAAATTAAAGCATCACAAAAAGGAGGTGCATATTATAACTTGAGGTATAGAGACACTGAACTACCAAAAAAAAAGAGTGAGGGAGCAACTTGTGCTAGATTGGAGGGAAAGCCTCCTAGTAGTCGCAGCTATAGAGCAGGAGAGGACAAAAGATCCATTAGATTTTTTCTAAAGATTTTTAGATTACTGACAGTCTGGTTGTTTATCAAACCACATCAGAAACCAATAAATTATCACAGAATCACAGAGTCAATTAGGCTGCAAAAGACCTCTGAGACCATCAAGTCCAACCTATGACCAAAGATCAATATGGCACTAAGTTCCATGTCCAGTCTTTCCTTAAACACCTCCAAGGATGGTGACTCCACCATGTTGTTTGTATTAATTTCTAAATATATTCAAAATATTTCTTTCCTTTGCTCAGGTCTTTTGCTAGGATATGCATTAGCAGGACTTTTCCAGCAGGATTTTCTGATACAACACAAACACAAATTGCATATAATTACATATGTAAAAGCACAAGGGAAACATTTGTAGTGAATTGACAAAGACAAGAATGTAAAAGTTAGGAAGTGCCAGACATATTTGTTTGTGCACTCTTAATTTTCTCCTTTTGCTCTGAATTGTGCAGAATTAATGTAATTAAAGGACATGTCACAATCCATACAGGAAAATTAATATTGTGTATTTGCTAGTGCCAGACTTATTAGTACAATTAAATGTGTATTATTTAGCTGGATGTGTTTCCAGTAGTTGATGAACTCCTCTGCAGAGGGCTAGAACTACTTACACCTACTTACACCTCCATGTAATTCACTGGCATTGTGCTGGCTACATGTGCAGTGGTTTTCATGGAGATTAAACATGAGGATTTCTAGCCAGATGTGTCCTAAAGATACGGGAAAATAAATCACTGGAATTTCACTGATTTTTTTTAATAGTCCTTCGGTGTACTGCTTTCCTTAGGAAGAAAAAGCCCAAATGCTGGAGAACCAGATGAGTCCTTAAAATTGTTATTTAAAGTGAGTAATTTCAAACGTAGACTCAAAAAATCACATCTCCATAGATGTGGAGTGCAGTGTAGAAACCAAAGACATGCTCTTTGCATGCATTTAACACACTCAAGCTGAATAACCTTGTAAACTGAGCAATGATTGGTCTTATTTTAGAGCCTTGGCTGAACTTAATGCAACTATTGATATAATTGTAGCTTATTAAAATGTTTTCTTGATGATTTTTAGGATTAATTAGGCGGCTGTCTATAGCACCACATAGGTGAGTTTCTGTCCCATGGGGTAGTTGTGTAAGGTCTTCTGAAAGATCAGTTCCTGTTGCTACTGAAAATGCAGTTTCCATACTTTGAATGCCATAGTCCAGGCTCTGTATCTAGGATTATGGTGGTAAGGAAAAGGAATATGGACAATATTCATAGTCTTTGCTTAGTATGTTTATTCAGTTGCAATAAGAATTTAGCCTGAGCAGCATCACTGAGAATGAACTGTGTGTGAATTCATCTCTCCTGGAATCAGTCAGTGCTGCTCTGCAAAGCATAGCCTTGACATCTCCATTTAGTGCTATTTGAATAAACACTCATCAAGAAAATGGCTGCAGACGGGGAAAATTTTCTTTTTATATTTTTAAATACACAGGATAAAATGTTTTAACAAGATTTAAGTAAAATATTTGTAATTAGGAAATGTATTATTTTAAGTGCAACCAAACATGAAGCTGTGGAGTCTTCCCTCCTTTTTGGCCTTTGAAAGGAAATCTAAGCTGAATATCATATCTTACATAAACTTCCTGGAGAAAGGTCATGTTTATTTCTATTGATACATAGTTCTGGTTGCATTTTCTTTCACTACTAACCACAATATTTAGTTTTTGAGTGCAGTATTCTTACTATGAAATTGCAACCTATCTTCCAGCATACTGAAAGCTCTGGATTCACGATGAATCAGTAAGTAGCCTGAATCATGGACATCTCTTCTTGTTTACCAGACTAACAAATTTGTTAGCTCTTTGCTCAGCACAAGTGAATCTGCTTTGTTAAATTTTCTAATAGGCAATCTAATCTGCCTCGCTGAACATTAATAGCATATGTTCCTTATCTGGAAATACTTGTATCCATCTGTACTGAGAAGAGATATCAGACTTCCTCGATATCTTGTTCTTTGCTCTATTCTTCTGGAGATTTTCTGAAAAACTGCTTTGTTGCCATTGAACATAACCATACAGGAGCTGAGGTTATAGTGTATGAGAAATAAAGATTTGTGTTCTTCAGGATCTAGCAATCAATCCAGAGATCCATAAATATGACAAGAAAATAATTTACATGAACACTGTAATAAAATCCCACAAAACTTCAGTATCTTAGTGGTTTGTGTTCCAAGCTGTGTCATACTGCAAGTAAAACCTGTATCCCACATAATGTCCAAAAGCCCCTTTACTATATTCTTAGCAAGACCTAAATTTTGATACATATTCTAATAATGACTTCCTTTTTCTGGGGCTGACGCTCCACTCAGATGTTACACTTTATAGCAATGAAGTTACATTCTTACCTACAGACATAACAACAACTGTGAAGTGAGTTTCATCTCGTTTCCCAGTCACATTGTTGAAAGCACAGCACATATAATCTATTGTCTTCTGGGCCACTTGATCAGACACAACTTCCAGATGGGGTCCATACTTGATTACTTGAGTGGTATTGTCATCCCTTTGAATCCATGAATAAGTATTTGGTGGATTTGAATCTGCTGAGCAGGCAAACAGTACAACTTCCCCCACGTCAACTGTAAACACTGCTCCTATATTCAGACCTTTGTCTGATTTGACTCTAAGTCCATAAGGTCCATCTGCATTGGAAAAAAAAAGAAATAAAATGAGAAAATCAATGTATATGATTAAAATTTAATCAGAAGTGTATCTCTAAAGTTAGAATATTCTAAGTTAGACTAGCCTTTAGAATGGCTAGCATTCAGTCATTTCAATGAAAAGGCTTTCAGTTCAATAACTGGATCTGTGCTAGGTTTATCTCAGGCTACACCCACTTAATACTGGTCTAATTGTTGTTTAAAGAAAAAGCATGGTCTAGGTATTTCTCAGCATGATAAAAAGAATAAAAACTGAAATCAGGTGGATTTCTATGAAATAAAAGAGCATGTCTTCTTCAGGATCATATTTGATTTTCTATTTCAGTGTCAAACTTACTGGCATAAGTAATTTCCCTACAAATTTAGAAGTGAACAAATTTGCCTTGTAATGTTACCTCCACTGCAATAATTTACAGTATAATAATTATTTAGGGAACTAACTTACAGATGTAATGTTGAGTGGGGTGTGCGTCAGATAAGTTCAGAACAATTTTTCCATAAATGACTGCTAGAATAAACTGTAACTTTTCCCCCATTGTAGTAGGTTTGTATGACTAAATAATACTTTAAATAATTAGAGAATACTTTAATTAAATAATTTAAAATACTTAAATAATTACTACTGTAATTGTGCTTTTTTCAAGTGCAAGTTCTTGTGCTGAAAGTTGTTTTTCTGAATATAGTTAGAAGAAGCATATGTTGCTCTATAGTCATGTGTTCATTACATAAAAATTGAGAAGATTAGTATTTTTAGTGTAACCTGCATAGAAAATGAGAAGAGAAACAATATACTTAAAACTGGAAGGGATGTAGGAGGTAGGCAGAAGAATCCATTGTTCCATGGGATTCTTGCCTTTGTCACTGGAAGTGAATTTAATTCTGTTTAATAACTGGCAAGTCCAGATGCATCAAGAAAGTTTCTTAAAACTCTTCTTTTTTATTAATTATAAACAATTGATCTACTTCCCAATACATTTTCTGTGCCATAGTGTTTTGTATATTACTAATATTGCATAAAATGCAATATATTTGACTGAAATATTAGAAGAATACTTCTCATGCTGCTTTTACTAGAACATTTCAGATCATTGGGGCTTTTACATCTTTACATGTTAAAATTATTTTTACAGTTATTTAAGTATAGAAATTAATGTAGAGAATATAATAATCAAAGTGTGCCTTATTAAATAACTTCTTCTAGTTAAAAAAAAAACAAAACCAGAAAACCAAACCCCAAAAATTTTAATGTTAATTCCCTGACGACTTACATGAATAATCAAAAATGTACAGAGCCAAAGAAGAAAATATGCAGAATATCTTTTTGGTAGGATCCTTGAAGGTCAGTAAAGCTGTCTTGTACAAAATGGTGTAGCACAAAATGGGCACAATACTGTGCCCGTTGCAGACAGTGGAATCTAGTAACAGTTCCACCTTTCTGTGGTTGCTGGAAGAATTAAGATAATGTAGCTGGGTTTGAATGGGAAAATCTCTGCTACATGAAGCTGCACACTTGTATATTTCAGACTTTATTTCCCACCAGGAAATTCAGGACAATGTTAGAATGTTCTCTAATACACACTTCTATTTAGTCTTTGTCTTTTTTTATGAAACTCATTATTTTTCAAGAACACCTAAGCCACCAGCATACAGCACAATCCATTTTGTGTGCACCTCTCTGTTTTTTCCTGTTTGTTCAGGCTTAGACAAGAGACTATAGACCACCACACATGACCTCCATTTAGTCTGCTTTTAGGTAAATGTCCATATTTCACAACATAAACTTGTCAATATTTTAATTTTCTCTACTTATTTCCTAGTGGTAATCGTTTTGCTGTCTCATTTTAAGGAATGGCCAACATCATGCATAATTACTTGGGAAATGAAATATAAATTCACTTCAGCATGGATCAGTGCTGTTCCCACCTACATTGCAATGGCCACTCTGAAGAATCATGGCTTTTCTTTAAGTTCTAGATTCTGGGCTCCTTCGTCACAGGCTCTGCAGTTCCTGAGTCACTTGCTTTATTGTCTCCAAGAGTCAGCTGATCCTGTAATGACCATTAGTGTGAAGACCTATATCCCACTATTTTGGCATGGCTGGCCTCACTTCAGCTGCATGTTTCTGTGGAAGGGGAGCTTTTCACAGGGGCCCACCTCTTACAGGTATTTACTTCCCTTTTTTTAAGATCTGAAATGAGAAGGGATGTACCTGCCTTTGACATTTTTCATAAATGAAGCCCCTCACAAATTATTTATAGGCAGGAACATACTTTTTTTTTTTTTTTTTTTTTTTTTTTACTTTTCAAAGCAATTTAGTGGTTCTTCCAATCCAGTTCTCCATTCTTAGGAGAATTAGTTTTTATTTTCATGAATAATATGACTTTGACATGTGTTAACAGGGATTAATGGCAAGAAGAGCTGAGTGGTTTCCATGTCCCCCTTTCTGTAGTGGGTGGTTTGCCACAATCTGCAAAAGAATCAGAACGGAGTTCTGTTTTTCATCATTAACATAACTGTGCAGCATAAAGAGATAACAGTGAGAACTGTATTTTAATGAAAGCTGCAAGTTGAAAGAAATCATTATACAAACACTGACACACTCTGGCTGGGGAAGTAAGTTTGAAAAAAGCAGAGAGGTTATCTTAAGAAATTGCCAAATTTTGGCAAAATCTGGAGAGTGGCACTCCTTGCTGAAATCAACACAAGGATTGGGTAATCCTTCTGCTTTGCCCGGAGCAGTATTTTGCCCCTCCTGGGCATCATGCACATCAGGGTCCCTAAACAATGGGTAACTGACAGATATACACAGCTTCAAGGATGATTCTGAAAATCAGGAAATTAACCATTCTCTCCCTAGTACTAAGTATATTCTATCTTTTGGAAGACTTGAGGAAGAAAATCCCACTTAGTCTGCTGAGTTCAACTCCATCAACACAGTATAACACAGTACAACGGGGTCTGCTGCAGCCTACAGGAGAGCAGCTTCTTCCAGGCTTGAAATAATTTGTTTCTGAGCCACATGACTGCAATAGCCATGTTCCAGGCTGCATTATCATCATAACTAATGGAGAAGCAGGATAATATTAATAAGACATGAATTAAAAACCACTTTTCATACTCAGTAAAACCCACAATGACAGCCTTTGTGGATCCCTCAGCTCTAGTTTCCCTCTCCAGTATTCTCTACAGAAAACTGCCTCTTGCCTTAGTAAAACCAGTTAACTAAATGACGTGTAAAATAATAAATCAGTCCTTCTGAGTTACAATTTACTGCTCTGTGGGAGTATTTCCAATTGCTCCTATCACTACGAGACAGTTACAGTTTCCAAGCAGATGGCAGGTATTTACCGTGAGTGACCTTTTCTTTATCACCTCCAGTAACTCCCCCAAGGCAATGACATATGGCAGAGAGAGATCCCGGGGCCTGCTCTGGATTGTTATTGACAACCAGGAGCTGGGAGACAAAGTACTTCTGCAGGCAGAGGTTGAACCAAATTAGGTGACTTCATATAGCTCAGGAAGACCCCAATTCCCGTCATTGACTTGGATATAGAGAATACCACAGATATTTACAGTCTTTCAGAGTTGCATTGTTTGCTCTTAATATTTTTTTTCAGATTTTGTATTATGCACAAAGCATACCCACAGTTCTGATGAACGATATTCTGAAAATGCATATACAATAATATTTACACACATGGAGAAAAAGTTAATCTCAAGGTTTTTGATAGAGCTGTATATCACAACCATTTAATCAGCAAAAGATTCAAGAAATGTGGATACTTAAGTTGCTTTGAGATTTTAAAATTCTGGTAAACAATAGGTCAAAACCAGGTTTCTAGTTTAGAACTTGGAAAAATTTTTCAAATTTACACACAAAAATGTGTGTAATTAAGTGAGGAAGAAGGGAGGAAGCAGTACCAGAGCTGGGACTGAAGGGTACACATGTCAGAGCAAGTGTCCCAGACACCTGTCAGTGCAATCAGTGCTTTGGAGACAATCCTGTGTGTAACAACATGTGTGTAACATGTGGTCAGAAATTCAAATCTCACACGGCTGTGCAACAGAGTTGTCTGAAAGGTATCAAGAGTGGCAGATATTTTTCTAGCCTGACCCGACTTTATTGCATGGAAAGAAGGCTGTCAGGCTGGATACAGCTGGCTGCCAAATTCTGTGTATTCTTTGAGGACAGACCTGTATAAGGCCAATTCACAGCTCATTAAAGTGAGAAACGAAGTAGAGGAACTGCATTTATACGCCTTCAGGTCTCATTCTTAGCACTTTAAGCACATAAGTGAGCTGGGATTGTGACTACAAAAGCAGGTATATAAAAATGTGGTACCTTGTTGAAAGAATGTGTTGGTTTTGTTTTTTTTTTAAATATAGTAATGATAAATTAAAGCTTTATCAATGCTGGTTATTTCCTAGTTTGTAATAACTCCTCTGTCTAATGAAATGGAAGCTCAATTAATATTTTCCCTGTTTAGGACTCTTTTCAACTGCTTCTTCAAGTCTGCACTGCTGTCAATTTTATAAGCTACACATAAGCTTATATCAGCTCACATCTAACAACGTCCCTGTTAATCTCTACTAACTTAGGCAGCCTTTTTCTCTTCTTCTGGTGCAGTGTGGAGACCACCCCCTGCTCCTCATTCTTTAGATGCAAGTCATTCCCTTATCCAAATTTTCCAAATTATAACAAAAAACACCCAAACAACTAGAAGCATAGATAATCAGAGATGAAAGGAGATGAAAGGAGGAGGAGGAAAATATGAAAGCTAGAGATGTAGGAGATGTAGGTTCTGAATATGTTGGTAGTGCAGTCACAACAAGTTGAGCATGGACGGCCTACCAGCTGCCAGAGCCTGGAGAAATCATGAATGCACACCAGCCCTTGGCTGGACAGGAATCCAGTTCCAGTCCTTGCAGTGTTCCTTCCAGACTGGGCCACTGGGTAAACTGGCTGGATCTGAACAGGATTGGTGGCAAAGTAGGTCCTGGCCTTTCAAATTTCAGCTCTCCTCTGAGAAGGATAATTCAACCCCTGAGGACATGAGGATTAGAGCATAGCAGGTCATGTACATGTAGCATGTGCTACTTGAAAATTGAGGAGGCACTGGGAATTTCTGACGTGGACCAAAATGACAAGGCCCTAAGATTTATTGTATAATTGTTGAATGGTGATTAAATCAATCTTTTGTTTCCTCCAACTCAATTAATTTATTACTCAGGTGCCTTAATTTCCAGTCAAAATACCTGGCTACCTTATGGTTTATTCTTCTGTAAAAAATGGTCTTTATGCAACTCTTGCTCCCTCCTATTTCCTGTTTGATGTGGAATGTAATCACTTCTTTCAGCTCTAATTTTGTTAAGCCTGACTGAGGTCTCTGTGTCTCTTCTCCATTCCTGTCTTTCTTTTTTTTCCAGTTCAAGATCAGCATTCTGGGATCTGCAGGGACTGCATGAAGTACTGTACATGTGGTGTTATCTTCTGTGTGCCATCAGCATTCCCCTTGTTTCCTCATTGGAAATCCATTGCCCACTCCCCTAGAATTAAATATGTCTTTTTCATGCCTGAATCATGCTGTTAGTTCATAGATATCTAGTGATAGCTCAATCACCTAGGCTCGGTGCCTTGATATTTTCTAATCAATCTTGATCTTATCAGCAGAAGTTCATGTTTTTTATTCTCTGAAAGGGCATGCCCTTTTACTTTTTTATAGCAAATTTCATCCCAGCTCTATTACTCTGTCAAGATCATTGAGTCCTCCTATTTAATGTCATACATGAACTTCATTGAGATACTGTCTTCTTTCTGGTGCCATTAATGGAAGTATTAAAAAGGACTGTACTTGAAATGATCTTGAGGAAATCCACTAATACCAGTCCTTCAGCCTGGTACTTCCTGTGTTTAGCTTTTTGATACTATTTGGTGTCTCCATTTATAACAACATTTTCATGTATAATGATCTCATTATTTTTTTCCTTTGAGTCACATCTGAAGACATCTGAGGAAATCTTGAAGTTTCTATTTGAATTCTGCGGATAGGACTGATCTTCACATCTATACAACACAGAATAATTTTTTTATCCCGTTTTAAGTTAGAGCTATTACAAACAAACTCATTCTGAATGCAAGCTCACATACAATGTTGACTCAACTGTTTTCTGTCTGTTTTCTTAGTTGGAGGCATACCTTCCAGCAAAATCATTCATACAAAGATAATAATGAATATTTCATATACTCACAATATATGGTTGGTGCAATTATCTCACTTTCCATTGCACTGACAGGGTTAGATACCAGACAGCTGTAATTCCCAATGTCTTCTTTTACTACAGGAACAATTAGAAGTGTAGCATTGTTTGATGAAAAGGTATAATTAGGGCCAGCATGAAGACGTTTCCCATTTTTCATCCACTGGTAAGCTACCCTTGTACCTCTATCCACAGTACATTTTAGGGTAATATTCCCTACATACTCCACTACTCCTGAAGATGGTTCAGTATGTACAGTTGGCTTTGTGACTGGAACTGTAAAATAAACACATATGAAGAGTTGTTAAAGTGACAAGCCATTATATTACAGTCTTCATGGTCAAGACCATTCAAATAGCAATCATCATTCTCTCTGGAAATTACTAATACTTCTAATTTTATCTCTTGCATTTAAAGGTTAAAAAAATAATTTTCTCAGCCATATTCTCAGCTGGTGACTGTAAGAATTGTAATGGGACATAAATAAAACCAGACTGTTTATATTACTGGTAAGATGATAAGGGCTGCAGTCATGTGTACCACGGTCTCTTGCCTCATATACAAATCACTGAGTCCAAAGAAATGAAAGGAGCACAAAGCATGGCACTGCCCACCGTGTGACCTCTCAGCATGACTGCCCACACCTTTTCCCACACTGGGCACCACTGATATCTGGGTGATTTGTCATGAGGATATCTGCAGACTGGGACAGGTTTGGGAGTTAAATGGTAGCTACAGCTTTATCACCTCAAGATGTCATTCATCTCACTCCTTCCAAGGCTAATAGTTACAGGGTTCCCTCTGTATAATCCATAACTTACAGAAGCCTCTTGTCATCTTTTTAGATAATTCTTTCCCACTTCCACTTTTTTTTTTACTTTTTTTTTTTTTTAAGTACCTAATGAAGAGAGCGAAGCCTAAAGAGGGAAATTCAGTACTTTATGAATTCAGATCTGGGCTTCTTTTATAGACACAGGGCTACAGTCACCAGCAAAAATTAATGGCTCCTCTTTGATACAGGAGGTAAAGTTGTTCAGAGGAAAATACTATTTGAAATTCAAAGCATCCTCATGATAGCACAACAGAAACTTATAAAATCTTATTTTTTAGAAGTCTGTCTAATTTCATATTAAATGTTTCTATACCTCTTCAGTTTTTTACTTATGTTATAGAAACATCAGTTCATATACTAACTTTGCATAAAGATGACATATTTTAGTATTCCCTCCAGCAGCAGTAGAAAACAACATAACTTAATTGTTAGCATTTATTCATGTATGGTTGCATAAAATGAGACACCACTGTAACTGGATACTTAAGAACCAGGACTTCAAAACTATTGTAATTTTATTTTTAAAATGAAGATACTATCTTTTACTAACTTACCATAAACAGCTACTTGAATCTTTTCACTTGCAGCTATGGTCCCATTTCCATGGACGTTGACTTTTACAATGTAGTTGCCTTCATCACTAAGATGCAATGGATTAATCCTCAAAGATGCATTTGGTGGTATAAGGGTGAACTTGTGCTGGTATTCCAAGTCTGGAACTACTCTTTGATTTACAGAGCCAAGCAAGTATTTTGGGTTACTTTGAGACCTCTCAAAAAGCCAAATTATCTGGATTTCAGAAGCTGTAGCATTGAAATCATAGTCAACAGAAAGATGAAGAGGTTGCCCCTCAATACCATGGATAGTGTGAGATGGTACTGTCAATTTCAAGGCAGAACAAATCCCTGCACAAAAATGAAAGAACAAACAAATAAACAAACCCAAAACACAAATGGAAACCCCAGGAAACTCAAATGAGAAATTCTCACAGTGAAAAAACTCTCAAGGCTAAAATTTACAGTTTTTGCATGGTAATAGCTAATTAAGACTAAATTCAAGAAACAATACAAAGCTTGCAAAAGTCAAGTATTCCAATCTTAGGGAACTGGCAGAATTCAGCTTTGCTGTTAGTATTCACAAAAGTGAAATTTTCAGTCACATGATTAATACTGCTTTCCAAGAATTCTGTCTCTGTTATGGTGCAAAAAGGCCACTCCACATCCATTTCCCATATGTTTTTTAAAATAATTTTTCCTTGTGCTGGCCTAAGACATATTTATAAAACACTATTAAAGCTTTAGTCTTGGGACTAAGTGATTGATTTGCATACTAACTTTTCCACGGCGCTCATGAGAACAGCAACGATGTAAAGAATTGACATTAATGAACAGATCTCACAACACCATCTTAACTGATAGGACTTTAGAGATGAAGGATTTAAGCCCAGAGAAAATGAACAGCAAAATTACAGACTCATTTTGGATGATCAATTTGAAATACTAAGGACACAGTTTTTCAAAATACATACAAAAACATATTAGTATGTTCAAGATGCAACTCCAATTGACTCAAGTTGCAGGTTTGCTCAGATTTGTGCTCCATACTGCTGGAAAGCATGCTGCAAGTTTTAAAACACCCTAGGGAAAAGGCAACTTCTTATAAGTAAAAAATGTAAAAACTATGATTTAAGTAACCCATCTGCTACTGCATAAGAACACACTGAGAATGCACTGCCCTCAACATGCAGTGCTTCCACCATGCACCATATATTCTCCTCCTGCTAATGATCATTTTTGGTTGGACTTGATGAACCTTGAGGTCCCTCAAACCTGAGATTCTCTGATTCTTGACATGCTTCCAGATACCTGTAATGAAAAAGTAACCTCTCAGCTGATGTACATGGAATGTGTTTCTACCTGGGTGGGTAGGGAAGGGCAGAAGGAGCAATGTATGAAAAATATGTGACTGTGCTCATTAATACAACACAGAGTTAACTTTGTTTCTTAAATTTCCTTCTTTTATATCATTATTGTTTACAACAGTAGTCAGTAAAGGTTCATTTATGTCTAATTTCCTAAGTTATGTGACAGAAAAAAAAAATCAATTCAGTAGCATAATGTGGTATCTGTACATGTCTTTTGAGTTAGAATCATCAAATTTCAGTGCACAGTTGTTTGCCACGAGGTAATTGCAAAGAAAACTTGTTGGGCATGAGGGTGGGGACACAAAAAGGGGGAAATGGTTACAGATTGTGCAGTAATGCCAGTAATTAATGTCAGAGGTACCCAGGAAGGGTGTGCAAAGTAGCAGAGCAGAGATGGACTGTGAGTGGACCGGCTCATGGGTAGCCAGCAATGCTGTACAGAATCCACCCCAAAAAAGTAATTTTGGGGCTGGCTTCCTTTTTCATGAAGCTGAGCAATATTACACTCAGCTAAAGACAGCTCACAGCATTTCTGAGGGCATGGCAGGGAAGCCAAAGGAAAATGCTGCAGAATACTAACAGGGAAATCTACAAAAAGACAGTGAAATCCTTTGACAGAAAGTCTGGCAAGCCCTCATTAATGGGGGCTAAGGAGGAAGCAGGCAGAGGGCTTCAGGCTACATGGACTTTAATTTGCAAAGGACTGGCTGGGGTTCAGCTGAGATAGGAGGAAAACAGGGTGTAAAAAGAGGAAGAGTGTAGAAAAATGTGGAATGGCTTAAGTGGAGGATACATAGGACACATATTTTTACATGCTTAACTTTCTAGATGAAAAACCTAAAATGGATGATGCACATCAAATGGAAGCCTGCTCCCCTACCCTTTTTTTACAGTAATTGTAACCTGCTGTTCTTGCAATTTTCTAACACTGCACAACTCTTCAAGGCTTGCTAGACTCTGGTTAACAGGACATTAAGTATTTTATTGGTTGTTCTAACACTTCTCAGACATCAATATGCTCCCTGACAATAACACAGTACAAATCAGATTTAAACTGCTGTTGTCCACTTGAAAAAGAGAGTAACTCCTCAACAGAATCCTTCATGAAATATTTAATGTTGGAGATCTATTTCACATAACCTACCAATTATAAAACCACCCGTTTCAATTTTTAGATGAACTGGAATAAAGTCAAAACCATCTCTCAAATAGATAGACCTGTAATTAAAAGATCTGTCCATATACTTACTCATTCTTTAAATAAGATGCTGTTCAGTTTTTGGGTTTATTTAGCTGTCAGTAGGTGATTGTGCTGTGGGACAACATGTCAATAGCAAAAGTAGTGCAATCATAAAATATGGAAAGCAAGTATTTCTCATAGATCTGTTTGTGCAAAAAACTTAGCATAACCTAAGCCAGTCTTGTGAGCACCAGGAAAACTGGAACCACCAGTATGGAAGGTAACAGCATAATACTGAAAAGAGAATCAGGGCTGGAAAACTTACTTTCTTTGCAGCTAAAAACTGTTGGAATAGAAAATGCAAATAAACTTTGTTCCATTTGATTCACAGGAAAAATTTGATCTGTGTAATGTCGTGGAAAGATATTTTGATCTGCAATTAAGGAAATTCTTTAAGCTAGGACCAGAGGTGGTGAGGGCAGAAACCCCATTTTCCCCTCAGTCCCTTCAGGAGTGGCTTTGGATAACTCCAGTTCTTGTTGTTCTCTCTGGATTTCCTGGGGTGATTTTGTGGAGTGCCAACATCCCACAGGAGCTTCCCCATGGCTGGTAGGGCAAGGGAGAAGGCAGGACGAAACCGGGACAAATTATTAGATAATGGTGTTCTGTCAAAGGCAAGTGTTTTACAGGAGCAGTGATGAAAGTATTCTGGCCTCAGCAGAGATCATATTTTCTGCTATCTGGAATATTCTTTATTGAGAGGGTTATCCTCTTCACCTAAAGTGTTGTCAGGCATTGGAATGGGACACCCAGGGAAGCGGTAGAGTCACCCTCCCTGAGAGGGGGGTACTTCCAAGATGTGTAGATGTGGCACTCAGGAACATGCTTCAATGGTGGAATTGGCAGTGTTAGGTTTATGGCTGCACTTGATGCTCTTTAGGGTCTTCCCCAGCCTAAAGGGTTCTATGATTCACTTGTATTAGACTAGTTTTGATTTTTAATTTAAACTGCAGACTGTTATGACTAATCCTTGAATTAATGTTAACAGCAAAATCAAGCTTTTGTGTCAAACTAAATTCATATTTATAAGGCCCAAATTCCATAAAATTTAAGCCTATCCCTACAGCTTTACAAATATAATACACCTTTTTCCAATATGATGTCATTCCAAAACCTAATTTTTGTATCATGATCGTAAGGGCTGAACCACAATGACCTCCATTTGGAGCTCAGTGATCTGTGCTTTGCTTCCATCTCACTTTGCTATCACCAGTATTAGCAAGCACAACAGAATTGTTGTTGACATAAAACAAGGGCTGCAGTTTTAGTTTAAATAAAAAACTATGACATAACTTTTGAGTTTATGGCATAAACTGAAACCTGCCTAGCGAGGTTTTAGCATTTTCTGAATTTAACATGCACATCTCCTTGTCAAAGTGAGTTTGGATTCTCAACTGCTTTTCACCAGAGGGTTTATTTAGCTCTTCAGCTCTCCTGAACTTGGTGCAAAATGTCACTAGATCAGTGAAATATTTTTTTTTCCCTTTTCACAAGTATGTTTATTTGTGGGAAAAACCCCAAACCTAAACAACCCAGATGTAATGGTCCAGGAAAGCTGCAACTTCTATACCTCCATTTATATAATGGAAAACTTGGGCATACTCTTCCCTGGATTGGGATTTTTGCCCAAAAGTTCCACTGAGCTTTGTTACAGGGCTTAATTTTATTTGCTGAGGTCAATGCCTTCAGTGGCCTTTGTGTCATGTCTCCAATGCATCTGATTCCCATCATGATATGAAATATGAGCAGCACATTTCCCTTACTAGAAAATGTGTATATCAGGGTAAGGATGTAAGACTTCTTGGTGAATAAACCTGTACCCTAAAGCATTCTGCTTGCATGACAATAACTCTTGTAGGATTTCATTGAAAAGTACCCAAAAAAAGTGGTAAAGTAGATAAAGCACAAAGTCACTGTTTTTTATTGACCAAATAATTTTCATTTTTAAAGAAGAGATCCAACAACCATCATATAAAACATCAATCATTATGAAGCCAAAAGTCTTGGAAAAGTATTAAGCTCAAAATCAAGGGAACTAGGTGACTTTATAATAAGCTGGAACTGTGAGGTTCACAAAGAAGATAAAAATTGTTCCTATACATGAATGATTAGAGGTTGCACTATATTTATACTATTATATATTTCTTCTGTTGACATTTACAAAAACAAATATAGCAAAAGGTAATTACAGTAGTTTGCAGAAATAGGTTAATCTAACATTTGATCACAGGATATTTCTGTCAAAGTAGATAGAACATCTATTTTTTATCTACTGCATGGGTAACAAAAACTGCACCCACACACCAAACAAATGCACTATTAATGGGGAGATATTCTTCAGTTGACTAAAAGCTCAATTCAGTTTCAATACCAATTATATTTAGATACATATAAATTAATCATAAAGAAGTGAAAAATAATGTATCACTGCTGTCTCAATAAATTTTTAAAGAACTGTGTAACAGCTTCTGTATAATCTTTGGCTTCTAAGCCAGCCAAAGCTTCTGTCCAGCCTTACTTGTTAAAAAGAATGCACAATGTATATGTTACTCAATAAAATGTAACAGTATGTATTTAATCAATATCCATGTTTTTTATATGTAGATTATGTATATTTAATCAATGCCAAGTTTTACACAGGGATTATGTATAGCATTCATTTTTGTTCAGCTGCTAAAACTTTAGCTTCACTCATAAAACAAGGTGCCTCTACCTGATGAAAAACTTTTAGGCTATCTTCCTGAAATCAAACATCTGACAATACAACAGAAATATCTTTAAATTTATAAAGATAAATCTTACAGAATCAATTAACATTTCCACAATCACAATCAAATATAATTCATACTGTATCTTACCTACAAGCAGAAAATACAGTTTGCACTGTAAGTCCCAAAATAAGTTGGCTAAAGGGCTCCATGAAAGCATCCTGTCCCACACAAATGCCACCTTCTCTGCACTAAGCCAGGGCTTGGACCTGCAGCTGCTGGTTTATTTGCTAGGGAAATCAGCAATGAGTTAACAGGTCCTATCCTGTCCCCTGCCTTATGTGATTTGAATATGTGTATACAAAGAACAAAGGAGTGGAGCACCTGTTAGATGAGGACCCATCTTCATTGCCTCTGACTTTATCATAACCCTTCCCCGGCAGTCACAGCAAATATGACACAGAATGTAATAAATGGGGCACACAATACAAAGTACATTTAATTAATAGGAGTAAGTAAACGCACCAAGTGAACAGGTTACACAGTTATTAACTTCCTTTAGTTACAGTTTCATAAAAAATACTGTGATACTACATGCTTAATTCAAAATAAAATTAGTATTCAGAATATTTTTTCAGAACTTTTCTAATTACAGCCTCTCATTTTCTGTGACAAAAAAACATTAAACAGCTGTTAAAGAGCCTTACTAACTTCTTCTTAGCACTTTCATGCCCATAACTTTTCTGTATTTTTTTACTCAACATAAGTATAACTCAGCAAAGAATTAATTCCCTTCCTCTAAACAACATGTGATGTCAAATGCCTCTGAGATATCTTTGAAATGAAAATCCTATGGCTAGAGTGGACAGCTTACTACAGCTGTTAACTGCTGATTATTGTTTCTTCTGGATTAACTTACATCAGTTTAAATTAATATTAATGTAGGGTTTGGATTTTGTCCAAAGCTGTCACTCACCATACAAATCAGCAGCCAACTGGACAAACCATACTATTACCTGTGCAGTAACAGTTTGCAACAGCAAATATTAGCAGTGACAGAGATAGTTTAAGCATACAAAACCACACAATATTTTTCACTAAATAGTTTTTGGGCAGACTGTTATGGATTAACAAATAGACTAGACTGTATCCTGCGTTGTGCAGGAGCAACTGGTAGGAAGGAATTGGCTCCCCCTCATTGTGCGCTAGGAGCAAGGGTCCAGCAAGATGCTGAGCCCCCATCAGAAGGGCTGAACACTCAATATTTTCTTTAGTTAAAGAGAGGTGAAAACACCCAGATGCTTCCAGGTCCAATATAAAAAACACAAGGGTTATTCCCGGTTAATAAAGCAGAAGTAAGTGGTCCCCCCAACATATGTCAGGAGATGAAGAGGGTATTTCACTATTCCTAGAAGCTTTCTGGCTCCATTGTCCTGCCCACCTGAATGTTGTTGTTTATAACCTGCTTAATCCACCTAACTGTAGGCTTGATATATCAAATTGCAACCTTTCATAAAGCCTAGGATAGAAATAATTATCTACTCAATTTCACTATGAAATAAAATATTGGTCATAGGTTCTAATTAAGTTCTAACCGAAATGATGGGATGTTTAGTATTGGAATAAAACCTGTCTTGGCACTTTAAATGCCCCATATAAGCAAAGAAAATAATACTAATAAAAGGAACAGATTAGCACAGTAATGTTTTTCAATTGTGTCCTGTCATTTCCAGCATTTGAATATATTCTTGATGTCATTAATACACTACAAATTTTTACACGAACTCACACAAATGTCACGCATGTGTAAAATGGATTTTTTTTCTTGTAGAATTGTAGCTTGCGCTAGTTGTTAAATGGCATTTAGACTTAATACAAATCAAACCTCCTTTTCAATAGAAGCAACTACATTAAAGCAACACTATTTGCACCAACATTCTGCAAATTTTAGTTATTTAATTAATGAGAAGTAACTTTGTTATGTGCTAAACTTGTTCGAGGTTTTCCGCAAAACAATGACACGATATTCCCAACAGCAGCCAGAAGTAATGAGCTCCTGCTAAAGGCAGCAGGGAGGGACGGTGGGTCCGGACCCTCCTTTTGTCAATGTGTCGTTTCAAAGACACCGGCTCGTACCTGCCCTGCCCTGCGACAGCGCCGCAGCAGCTGGGCCGCTGGGAAACACGGGCATCAGGAAACGCGCGGAGCTGACCGCCGTGCACTCGAGAAGGAAAAACCCTCTTTTTCCACAAGTAAGAGCACGCCACAGTGGATGTGCCGGTAGAATACCGTCGAATGCTGTCTCCACTTAAGCAAAGACTGTAGGATTAATACTTTCTTTTCTTGTGCTGATATAAAGTATATTTAAAAAGCTATCTGGTGGTTTTTGGTGTGCGTGTATTTTTGGTTGTGTATCAATGTTTTGGGGACTACATCCATCAGCCGTGAACTGGTCGGACGCGCCCTTTTCAACACCCGAAGTAACCCGAGACAACCGCGAAATTCTCCTCGTCTGCGTGTACGCTCTAGCTCGCCTCCACAAACAGAGCCTCGCGCCGCCTTCTGAGCCAGCCCCTCCCGAATCTACATAAGCGAGCCTCAATGCTCGGACAGGGCTATGCCCGGGCACCGCGGCTCCAAGGCCCGGCCGCGCTGCCGGGAGTTGTAGTCGTGCCGGCGGGGCCGGAACTACCGCTCCCAGGGAGCCGCGGGCGGGCGCGGTCAGGTGGCGCCCAACATGGCTCCGCCGTGCCCCGGCGCCTTGCGCGGCCGCTGAGCGCAGTCGGGGCGGCGGTGGGGCCATCATGCAGAAGATCAAGTCGCTGATGACCCGCCAGGTGAGCGGCTCTTCTCGGGGGGCGGTAGGGTACCGCCGCGGCCGTGCCAGGCTTTCCTCGGGGCCGCCGTGCCCGGGCACTCCGGAGAGACGCCGGGGCGCGGGCATCGCCCTCTGCCCTGCCCGGGGAGGGAAGGCTTGGGGCGTGTGAGCTCTTGCTGCACACACATCCCCCTTGTTTTTCTCTTTACGCCCAGAGATGGAAGCGTGCGCAGGTGCCAACGCGTAGCTCGTGTCACAACAGAGAAATCGCTGTTGAAGATGACAGGGCGGGCCTGTCTCAGTTTGCTTTTTTGAGATACAATTTTGAGCGCTGGGATGTGGTTCTGTAACATGGCTTTGTCTGGCAGCAGATGCTTTTGGTCTAAAAGGAGGCGAGGATGAGGAGGTGCCAGGGACATACTTGGGTGGGCACATAGTGAGTGTGTGCCAGAGCACTCGGTGTGTCTGTCAGCTCACTGCTGTGTGCCACTTATACCGGTTGTCTCCAGGATTATGTAGCTCTAAGCCTACGTTTGGACCAATATTTCTAAGGTTGAGAGTCCTTTTAAGGAAGTATATCCACAGAACATTCCAGTTATTCACATATATAAGATACCCTTGAAGAGAAGTCTGTTTATCTGTGTCTAATTGGAGAATTTAAAAAAAATCACTTGTGTCACCCACATCAGATACTCTAGATAGTTATAGAAAATCATGAGAAAGTCATAAACTTTTTTTTCCCCTAAAACTATGCCCTCAGAGTGGTGATCCTTATGCAGGTGGCAGGGCTTAAAAATGAACACTTGTGTGAAAGTGGAATTGCCAAGATAATGTTCTGTTTTGCTTCAGTAGAGGGGTACATGATTTGTTTTCAGCTTGACTAGGAGTGCTAGGAAGCCTGCCCAGTGTGGAGATGATGTTTTCTGATAATGATACGACTTAGGCAATTTGCAGTCATTTGGAAGGATTAGGTTCTATTTACCATTTGATAAATGAAATCTTTTATTTCTTCTGGAGGTAAGTCACTAGAACTGCATATTTTTGAGAGGACTTGAGGAAGATTTTGTGTGAAGTATGTGAAACTGCATCAGTTGCTTTGCTTGTTTCTTACTTCAAATTTCTGATCCATAGCAGTGAGTCACCTTTGATGGTGGCAGCTGCAGAGGGAGGATATTTTGAAATGATGTGCAACAGAAGCTGAGAATCAAAACCAAAATGGTGAGGTTTTGCATCTTGGGAGGATGAAACTGTTGTAAAATGTAATAGTTACCATTGAGATGACATACAACACTTTGTCAGTTTCAAAGAATAAACACAAACTTTCTCACCATTATCTAACATAGTACTTGGATAGGTCCTTTTAGAAATAGAGGTACCCAGGGCCAGAAAGTGGCTTGGCAAAATATTATTGAGATCGATCACAAGAGCAGGAAGGAAGTTCCCCTGAAACTTGTGACTCACAGGAGCATCCTGAAGTCTCAAGGAACGCTGGAGTCAGAACCATGTCTGAAACTTGAATGTGTAGATTCATTTCTGCCCAGGGAGCCAGCAGAAAATATGTTAAGCAGCCTGTTCTGTGGGATGGGTGCATGAAATGGTGAGATGCTCTTTCAGGTTGTCAGGAGAAGTTGTGGATGCCCCATCCCTGGAAGTGCTCACGGCCAGGCTGGACAGTGCCTTGGGCAACTTGATCTAGTGGAAGGTGATCCTGCCCATGGCAGCTTGGAACTACAGGATCTTTAGATTCCTTCTAACCCAAACCTTTCTCTGATAATTGTGAATATGTTTGATATTCAACAAACATACATGCTGTTTATGTGGCTATATCTGTTTTAAGGAGTAATAATTATATAAAGCAGCTAATGTGGACTATGCAACCTTTTCAGTTCAGATACACATAGGGAAAGCCAGTCCTAGTAGTGGAATATGGTAAGTAGAAAAATATGCCATCAAACAGAAATAATCTTGCTATAGAGTAGGTGGCATCTAACTTGAATTCAGTTATTTGATTCCATTAAATCATTAAGTTAGTGGAACAAAGTATGCTATGTTTTTTGGACACAGGCTCATTCTAAAAATTAAGATAACATCTGGACATTGACAGGAGGATGTGAGTGTTATAAAGAAAATGTTAGTGAACTGTACTGAAAAGATACATATTGCAGCATAAAACTGGAAATGCTTAGATGTTTAAGAAGCATAATTTATATACTAATGGTCTTGCTTAAATGTTTCTAGAATGAGGTCTTAGCCTTCCAGCTACATGTCAGAGTATTGAGGGACTTATAGATATCTATTCAACATCAGCACTTGATTGTAAGTTACGTAAAGGAATTAAACTTAACTGATTATTAAAATTCTTTTGAAGGGTCTAAGAAGTCCTCAGGAGAGTGTTAATGACCTCAGTCCTATTGAAAGCTTCCGGGTTCCT